TTGTGACCATTTTATGCAGGGGGAAATCACTGATGATAGAATTAGGTGAGTTGGGGTGTGTGTGTATGTGTGTGTGTGAGTGTGTGTGTGTGTGTGTGTGTGTAGGTTTGAGACAGGGTCTTACCAAACTCACTCTGTAACCATGCTGCCTTGAGCACACAACAATCCTTCCTCACCCTTTAAGGAAGGTTGCTACTTCCTCAGGTCTTTCTGTGATTGTTACAACTATGAACCATTAGTAACCTCTGTAAGAGCCCAAGGGAGGGTACACTGGGCAACACCAATGATGGAGAAGGGGAAGGGGAGGGGCTCCCACACCAACGGGAGCTGTCTGTCTACCTCAAAGTTTATACACCCTTTTCTGAGCTGCACCTCCATTTCCCAGGCCTGCAGCTTTCCTCGCCTCTTGCATCACTTTCATTCTCTGGCCCTGCCACACTCTTCTCCACATCCATGTCAGCAGTTCCCGAGGAAACAGCTTCCTCCCTGCTCCTCAAATCTGACAAGGTAGCCACAGTTGCTTCTGCAGCTCCACTGCTATTGGTTCTATGGCCACACCTTCCTTCTTTCGCCCCTCCTGCCTGGATCCCCTCAAGGTAAGCCTTGTCTGTGGTTCCGGTTCTTCCTGCATTCTACTTTCATTTTCCTACCCTTTGGTCTTCTGACTTTTCCAGAAGTCCAATTCTTTGTTCATTCCCCTCAACAAACTTGGTGGATCTCCTAGATGACCACCACTCACCCCAAGACCACCACTAACAGTATGTGCATGGGTCTGTGCACTGGAGCATGGGTAAACTATCAGTAGCCACACCCTCGAAGAATGATTCTCCCTTCTCCGGCAGCTATCAACTGTCAATAGCTCCTCAGCAAGGGGTGAGGCCTGGAGAGCACCTCCCCCAACTATGCAGGAATTGGGGCTGGTTTGACTTGTACAAGTCTTGTTCAGGAAACCACAACTGAATGAGTTCCTGAGTGTAACAGCCAAAGGTCCAGAAGACATGTCACAGCATTCCTCCCCATCCTCCAGCTCCTACATTCTGCCTCTTCTTCTGAGATGTTCCCTGAGTCTTGGGGGGGATTGGGGGTTGATAAAATGTCCCATTTAGGGATGGTCATTCAATTTCTTCTCGGTACTTTGATTAGTTATGTATCTCTGCACTGATACCTGCCCACTGTGAAAAGACCCTTCTCTGACCAAGGCTGAGAGTAGCCTAGGTCTATAAGTGTGTTTAGAAAGCAATTTGACAGCATGACCATTTAGCAAAATAAAAATCATGGGTTCTACCCCAGGGCCCATGACTTTCCTAGTCATGGGCTTTTGACCAGGGTTACACACCAGGCATGAAATGCCTCCTGTGAGGCATCTGATTGTTTCAAATCCAATCAGAAAGTAGTTACCCATAACAGTCATACCATTGTTGCACCAGTGGACAGATCTTGTCTTGCACGCCAGTACTGTAGCGTACATGGCCCAGCATTGGGTAATATCACTGATGCCTTTTCTCCCCAGCAACCTACAAGGCACCTTCCAGTACTATGAAAGTTAGCCAGGAGGGAAGAAGTATCCCACTTGGTCTGAGATTGATTTCTCAATGTCCTGTAGCCAAAGTGTATGATGAATTCAGCAATATTGTATTTTGTGGATTTGGTGGGTAACCAAGGGCAATGGCAATGACCTGTGTTGTCTGAGACTGCTGGAGGCCTCCCTGACCAATTAATTAACTTGTAGAGAGATATCTCATGCTTTGCTCTGCAATTTTAATTTAATAACTCATGTCTTCTGGGAGTGGCACTGGCCACCAATGCAAAGTTAATTCATTCAAGCTTTTTAAAAGTTGTACTTTGAAATTAGCCTACTAACTAGTGGGTTTTCAAAAAGTTTTTACATACATCCTTTGATAACAGGAAAACTATTGAAGACAAAATCAAGCATTCTATTTCAATAAATTATTCTAAAAATGAAAGATACTAAATGTGTGTGTGTTAAACTAGCATTCTATGGGAAGATAATTGAGAATCAGTGATGTAGAGAATCATTCAAGTACAACTAGGATTGTGGAACTATGCTGCCTTCCAAAGCCATGGGGTAAGTATAACTCTGCCCACAATCAGAAAGATAAGGCAAACATTTATTTAATCAGTAAGAATCCCTAACAACTGTATGGAGGAATGAACTTCCAATGAAATGCATACTTGATGGAATTAAAACTCTCAAGATTTCATTGTACTTTGTCATATAAAGTATTTTTACTTGACTACTTGACTTTAAACTGGAGCTACTATGAAAAAAATGTAGAAACTTCCTTAGATATGTGGCATTACTAGAGACATTACTATCACCTTAACAAATAGCCCAACTCTTCTAGTTTTTAAGTTGGGCCCACAAAGCGGAGGACACCGTTCCCCTATATCTCTTGGAACCATCTGTCTCCAGGACCTATGCTGATGGAAATGTCCTGCTGGAACTCCAGGTCTCAGGAACTGTGCCCTTGAGCCTAGCCCTACCCATGATTTTATCCAAAATACTTTCTTCAGGCTTTAATTGGGGAAGTACAAGTGTGGCTCCACCGAAATCTGAACAGAATCTGGTCTTTTCATTCCTAGTACTAGAATATCCCATTCACCCAAAGTCACAGTCCTTCCCAATCTCCACTATGTTCGAGGGAGATAGGTGTGCCTAACAGCGTTTTTGGTATGTTAATTCTCAAGCATGTCCATATTCATTCATTCATTAATTCATTCATTCACTCACTCATTCTCTTTTTGTGTGCAGTACCAAACTGAGGTTGCCTAGGAAATAAAAATGAGATCGGGTACCCAGGTCACAAGACACAAGAGCATATGATTTTTCTGGGGTTAATTAAAAGTCATTAGTCCATTTGTTAGTCATTTCCACACAGATACTAACGAAATTTAAAATGTACAAAGCTCTTGATTTAGTAACTAAACTGGTAATCTATTCTGTAATTACTGATAGTGGATAAAGAAAAACATCTTTAGTAGAAACAAGGGAACCACCTAATGGTTCACTGTGAACTATCAATTAGGGTACAGAATTAAATGCACCTACTGTAAAGAATGGACAGATTTTAAAGATCTTTTTTTCCATGCTGGAGACCAAACTCAGGACTTTGTACATCCTGGACATGCTACCTAAGGTGGTAAGATGGAATGGCTGGGGGTGCTGACAACACAGCAGACAGTAGCAGGGATGACAGAGCATAAGGGCTCTAGTGGGGGGAGGGGGGAAGCTATGGGAGGGTGCCATCTGGGAAGTGGGTATATAGATGAATAAGATGGTTTGGGATGTTCTGTGTGCTATACACACAAATTCAACCAATTAAAAAATGAGTTATATATGAGGAGGAAGCATAAAAATTTACATCATGTTAATTAGTAGAGGTGATAAATATTACCATTGAAATCTACTCGATGACTTTATAGCTATACACATGTGCCAAGGATCCGAGTGCAACCGACCATGACTAGTAATAATCAGATACATACAGATTAGAGACACATGCACCAACATCTGTTATTAGCAAAAACAATGAGTCTGTAAGAAACAGCATATTTTAAAATGAAATAGAGATCTTTTTTAAAGGTCAAAAACTCATTCAATTTTATGTCTTACCGGGTTTATACTGAGTTCAATATTGTATAGCTGTATTAATTCAACAGTGAACTTAAAAATTTTATAGCCATTTTTGAAAGACACGTATCTTTGCTCTGGAAATTGTTACTGAGTATGTCAAAGCTGTAATGAAATGCTTCTTCTAAAAAATAAAAAAAATTTAAAAATTTTGTATTTTTATTTTATGTGTATGAGTGTATTGCCTGAATGCATGTGAATGCACCTGTGTTGTGCAATGCTGTGGCGGTCAGAAGAGGGCTTTGGATTCCCCTGGAACTGGAGTTAAGGACAGTTCGTAGCTGCCATGTGGGTGCTGGGAATTGAACCTGGGTGAGGAGGTGCAAGAGCAGTCAGTGCTCTTAACCACTAAGTCATCTCTCCAGCCCTGGTAAGATGTTTTTAATGAGGAAAATATATGTTAAAGATTTTTATATAAAATTTGTAAGTCTCTTACATACTAGAAAAATTAACTGAAAAGTTCAAGATCAGTTAAAGTAATACTGATTTTAAGATGTGAATTTTTACTTTATACTTTAAACAATTTTTTAATAAAAATTTTATTTTGTATGCGTGTGTCAAGTGCACGTGAGCCACAGTGCGTATGTGGAGGTCAGAGGACAATCCAGGGGAGTCGTTCTCTTTCCACCATGTGACTCTGGGGAATGGAACTCAGGCTGTCAGCAGTAGGTGCCTTTTACCCAGTGAGCCACCTTGCTGGCCCTTTATATTTTCTGGAACTTAATTTAGTGGGTGGATTGTGTGCTGCTTGCATAATCAACATTTTCACAAACCCTACTACTCTCTGATCAAAATATTATCAATTTCTCTTGCCTTACCGCTGTAGCTATGGTAAGGTCAATTCTTCAATTCTTCAGAAATACTTCCCAACACCTTCAATGTAACCACACCCTGCCAGCTATTTCTTAATAACCCCCCCCCCTCAAAAAAGAAAACTGGTTTCACAGCTCACAGTTCAGAGACTCTCTGCCATCACTTGTTATGTCCCTTACAGGCATTTTCTTTATATTTTATCTTTTTCAATTTTTTTTTTTTTTGTCTTTTTGAGACAGGGTCTCCCTGTAGTGGGGCTGGCCTAGAGCTCACTATGTAGACCAGGCTGGCCTTGAACTCACAGAGATCTGACAGGCATTTTATAACCAATTTTATAACCAACTGTAGCTCATATCTTACTTAGTGCTTTAGCCATTCATGTTTTATCTGTTTCCCCACTTACTGGATAATAGGCTCCTAATGGAAAGAAAACAAGACTGACTCCTTTTTCTGTCCCTGACTGTGCTCAATGTAACAGATATGCATTGGATCAATGTGGCTTTTCTCTGTGTGAATTCAAAACATACATTGTTAGTAATTTGCAAACACCAAAGATAGCTTGTTTTATTTTCCAAAAATTTACTTACATGTACTTGGCAACATGTTTTCCCTTAATTTTTACCATAAAATAAAAATCTCAAAGCTTAAAATTTGGTATGTTATAATATGTCACAAATTAAATATGGAAGGAAGAGCTTAATCATATTTTTAGAAGTCTTTCATAATTTTACAAACACTGATATTTACAATATTTTTAATATATATATACAACATGGCATCATATTTAAATATACAAAACAGTTTTGTTATACTGTGTTATAAAACATTGTGAAATGCAAACTTGTGAAAAAATCCACAAAAACTGGTAATATTTGGGGAAAAATAACAACTAGTTTATGAACAGTCATGCAATATCTAATAAACATATACAATGTATACTGTACATGTCAAATCCACAAATTTAAAGGCATATGACAGATTTACATAAATCAGGCTAGAATCTAATTACAATTTTATAACTCATAGGCTAAAAACAAGTAGTTTTATGATAATGTGTCAAACAGGAATACAAACTGTAAAAACATATAGATGCTTTAATTCTCAAGATTACTAGAAAACATCAGAGACAACAAATCCAGCATTTCCTCTCTTATGAATATATTTAAAAACCACCAAGGGAACAAAATAAAAACACCCATATATTATAAATTAACCTTTTAAAATTTAGTCTCATATAGAGCCCTTGAAGTTTTCCTTGGCTTTTTTTTTTTTTTTTTTTTTGGTGTTTTTGAGACAGGGTCTCCCTGTAGTCCCAGCTGGCCTGGAACTCACTATGTAGACCAGGCTGGCCTTGAACTCACAAAGATCCACTTGCCTCTGCCTCTGAGTGCTGGGACTAAAGACATGCACCACCACTCCCAGCTCTTGGATATTTTTATTTTCCTCTGATTCAGTGGAGACAATAGGGAAATTAGGTAGGTTAGAAGAAATACCAAGAAGTACAATTACAGGAAAACAAAAACGGAGAAAACAGGGTTGGAGGCAGGATAGCATGCATGAAACCTTTTAAGGAAAGGCCAGGAAATAATAAGCTGAAGTATATTACACTACTGTCCCATGGTAATTTTTCTGGACATACTGTAAAATATATTAAATAAAAAAATCTTTTGACACAGGGTCTCCCTGTAGCCCCAGCCAGCCTGGAACACACTATGCAGGCCTCAATCTCACAGAGATCCTCTCCTGCCTCTACCTCCCAAGTACTGGGATTGAAAGGCATGCACCACCACTCCTGGCTTCAAAATACATTAATTTTTAAGAATATTATTAGAGTATGATAAACCAGAGATTCAAATCAAATTTCTTTTTAATTATGTACTTTCTTCGTGCTTCTGTGAAAGTACTTTTCCTCCATGCCATACTGTGTCACGCTAGATTTAGTAGTCATTAGTGGTAGAGGTGAGAGATGGGGATGGAAAAGAAAAGAAAAAAGAAAAAAAAAAAACAAACTTGGGTGCTCTGAGTCCATTCACTAGAAACTCAGATGGGATGCCTACTATGACCTGCAATGTGTGGCTATAGAGCACATGGTCAGGTGTTCGGTGGCTCTTCTGCTGCTGGCATAGGACACAGCACTATTAAGCATATGTTATATTAATTCCTTCAGCTCCCTGTCAGGACTCAGTAATACACACGGGAAGAAGGTAAACTAAAGGGCAGGAGACTGGCTTGCACTGGTATGCTGAGGCTGCCATTTCCTGTGCCCAGAGAGCTGCAGAGGCTGACTGTTTAGTCTGTATGTCATAGACTTCACCCTACTTCTAAGCTTGGGAGGAGGAACATTCTTGAGAGAAACACTCTGGGGAGAAGCCTGGACCAACACTAAATAGCTATGGGAATCTGAATGGGTCTGTTTACTACTTTCAATAAATGACATACAGATTTTTTTTAAAATTTATTTTCTGTGTTTAAGTGGTGCCTGTACCATTCATGTGCCTGGTACTCAGAGAGGCCAGAAGGTATCAGATCCTTTGGAACTTGAGTTACGGGGGGGTTGTGGGTGCTAAGAATTGAACCTGGATCCTCTGTAAGTGGAGTGTTTTTAACTGCTGAGCCAACTCTCTAGCTCAGACAGAAAGCTCTTACAGCTATACAATGAGAGGTGAGGACAAAGGAAAGGGCTTGAGGGAAGTGGGCAGAAAGAAAGGTATTTACCCTGTAAGGTGTGATGCACATTGTAAAAGTAGGTTAAAGGCCAGAATAAAAACATCTATTCATTTTAAGTACTGCCTCTCTCTTTTTTTGAGGATGAAGGTAAGAAGCAATACTCCTGGGTTCTGACTGAGGTGGGGAAGAATGCGGTTGAGGTACGCAGGCCCGTGACAATGGGAGCCACAGTACTTCTGGGTGGAGTGGCAAAACCCAGAGGTGGTGCTGAGGGCAGAGAATACTGTTATTTTTCCAGTGACATCCTCAACACAGGCAGTGCAAATCTATTCATTAGACACTGTGTCTCAGGCTCACAGTATGTTGAAGGGTATGCAAGAATGTTTTAACTCTATTAGAAAAAAATGCAAGTTTTAGATTAAAGGAATGTTTTAATCCAAAACATTAATAATGCCATTTTACACAAACACAATTATAAAACGTAATTTTAAGCTTTGTAAGGAATAATGGTTCCAAGAAGGTGAAAATGCTTGGGGCATGAAAAAATTCATGGTGTGCTGAACACAGGGTCAAATCAACTTTAGGAATGAAAACTGCACATTTAATAGGATTGGAGAATAGCTCAAGGTAAAGTGGTGGAGGGGAAAGAGAATTTCAACTTGCTGGTCTTGTCTCACTTTTTTCCTGATGTTATTTTGAACGATTATTTTTGAAGAAAGCTAATTCTAATATTGGAGGAGTACTAGTATCAATTTTCCTTAGCCAAGTGAGAACAAGAACAAAATTAAGTTCATTATTTTACAGCTGTATGCAATAATAAAGGTAAAGGATACAGAATGAAGGGACTGGGTTCTTGCTCTCCTCCTGCAAAGACTACGGGACAGGCTTTTCTTTGGGAGTCTGCTTCCTCAACAACCTGCATTATGTGCCTCTTGGTTTTCAACTCCTCTGTGCTTCTCTAAGGCTTCAGGAGGCCAAAACTGGCAATGCCAGGATGGGGGCAGCTGCAGTTGCAAAAGTATGTAGAGACCATGACAAGAGAAAAGAAGGGAGTACAGAGGATGATAGGAAAGAGGGGGACAAACTGTAAATCTGAATATTCTAAAGTAATGCTGTTAAAAAGTGGGGAAGAGGGGCTGGAGAGATGGCTCAGTGGTTAAGAGCACTGAGGACCGGAATTAGATTCCTAGCACCCACATGGTAGCTAACAATCATCCCTAACTCCAGTTCCAGGGGAATCCAATGCCCTCTTCTGACCTTGGCAGGCACTGCATGACTCGGGTACACTTACATACATGCAGGCAATATACTCATACACATAAAAACAATAAATAAAACATATTTTTTTAAAGTGGGGAAGAATTTAACTGTGTTTACTGTGATTTTTCGGGATAGCAGATGAGATACCTGTACTTTGGTATACTTCTATTTTAAAAATATGTTATAAGATATAAATGTTGTCTATAGTCAGAAAAACAGAAAGAAAAAACTAAGTAGTCGTTTAAAAACCTTGTGTTCTCTGGGCTGGAAAGATGGCTCAGCAGTTAAGAGCACTGGCTACTCTTGCAGAGGATCCAGGTTTGAATCTCAAAACCCACATGGTGGCTAACAACTGTTTGTAACTTCAGTTCCAGGGGGCCTGACACCCCCTTCTGTCCTCTGTGGGCACTGCATGACATGGGTGTATTTACATGCACGCATGCAGGCATAACACTCATCCCCATTAAAAAAAAATATTAAAAAACAACAACAACAACAACAAAACAACCAAACCCCATTTGTGTTTTCAAAGCCCTCAACACTCGACTACTACCATCCTTTCAGTCCTCACAAAGTGGCTAAGGGCATTGAGTATGGTTAACCAGTGGCGTGTGGATGACCCAGATTTAAGAAAGAACTTTTAACAATTCAACAAGGAAATACCAATCAAGAAAGCTAATCAACACCAGTTTCTAGTGTCTGTTCCCCACACCCTACGAAGAAACAGGCCAAGAGGAAGGGAAGCACAGAGGATTGAATTACTATTGCCTTTTGTAGAATTACAAATCTCCTGTGCTTGAAGGAATACCAAGTTATAAAATTAGAACTTGAATTACAATTGAGGGACCTGGAGTTTAGAATATATGACTGGATCAAAGTCACATACCAAGGCTGGCAAGAGAATTCAGCTAAGAGTTCCGGTTTCATGATTTTTGCTCCAGAGTTCTTATACTTCTAGGCTTCAAGGAAAATTTATAAACTATGTTTCACTGTTCATATTGAATGTACACAGAGAAATTTAAAAAAAAGCCTACTAGTTTCTTAAAAAATATTAATTTGGGAATGGCACAATATCAAAACATAATTCCAAAGGTACAGTCTAACATGCGGAATGATAAAATTTTAGAGCTGGCAGAATACTAGAAGTTAAATTAGACTTCAAGTCATTTGGTCTAGAGAAAGCAAACTACCTCCTCAAATCCCACAGCTGATGCAGGACTCAGGTCAGGAGGAAGCGCAGCTGCTTCTTCCAATACTGCCTTACTCTCTGACTACTGACGGAACCAAATAAAACAAAGGTCTAGAATTACATTCAGTTTAGAAATGAAATGGTTACTAAAAAGAATGCTGCTTGGAGAATGGATGTATGTATCAGCTCTCTGGTTAACAGAAATAAACTAAAATCTATTTCAATAAATGAGGCAGCATGAGAGCTTGTTTCTGCAGGAAGATGTACTTCAATGTGGATCATGATTCTAAGTTTTGCAGATGTTTGTCAAGAATGCAGGACAAACAAGGTCTCTGGCTCAGGAAAGCAAACTGGGTTCTAATGGTCTCTGCTCTCCAGAGCAGTGGCCTGTGCTTCGTAAAGTCCACTACCTATGCGCACAAACATGAAGAATGTCTGAAAGAACACATGTGGCTAATAAACTGAAATTATTCACTGACCGGCCCTTTACATGAAAACGTTTGCTAATCTTCATTTCATATTCAGAAAGTATAGGAAACTGAGTTAAATATGTAAAATACTAGATGGCATCTTTTTGTTTCTAATGATTAAATATCTAACTTGAATTCAAACTTTATTGCATTCGTCTTTCTCCTGATAGCAGGGAGAAAAAAACCTAGACTGTGGGTTATATTACCAAATTAAGTGAGGTTTTATCATATAATACTGTAAATAAACAGAGTTGGAGCTCTTTATTTCATGTGTAAATTCCTACAGAATGGTTTAGATAGCTGAGGAGATGGATATCTTACAGTACTGTTCCTATAAAATAAATGGAAGTAAATATGTATGATTCAACACTGGTTAACTCTCCTTTGGTCTCTTATCTGTTTTTAAGATACTCACATGAAGTGAGTATCGCTGCCATCAATGGCACACTGCTGGATTTGTAAATCAGTATTCTCAACCACATTAATTATTTCCATTTCTCATTTGCAATCCCCAAATAACACACAAATCTCACCAGAACATATGGGAAAACAGAAAATATTTGTGAGCTATGAAATGCCAAAATGTAAAATAAAGACAACTTCAGAGAGGAAGTAGAAATCAGACACATTCTACTCATCAATCTGAATACACACACCAATGCTTAAGTTTTCCTAGTCTACTGCATTATGTAATACAGGTAGGACACTGCAATAGATGCTGGTTTATCTAACACTATGATAACCACTACATGAAAACAAGTCCCAATCACTTCCTTTAACATGATTTATGTGGGAAACTCTGGATTTTTGTAAATTAAAAGCAAAAGATACCCAAGTTGTACTTCTGTAAAATTACAATTATTTAAAGCATCATGTCAAGGTTATAAACTTTAAAATAATTACATGAAAAACTCTTTTGTACAGCTCTCTTCAGTCAGTCCATTTTCTTGCTTGCTTTTATAATCAGAAAGAAACAAATTCTCTATTTGAGTCAGGAATTCCTCAGCAATGAAGCAATTGGATACTTTGCTCAGTGTTTTCCTCAGACACTCCAAAAGCTAGTTAAAAAGAAAAGTTTTATATTGAAATACTTAAGAAGTATTAAGAAGGCTTTCATAACTGTCACTATCTCTCTTCAAACCTCAAATTTCTCAATAATCAAATGAGAAATGCTGTCCTCAAAAATTCCAAACTGTAACACATTAGGTGACAGTCCTGGAACTCATGTACAATGCTCTCTGCTTTAGACAAACCTGTGACTTTGCTCCTTTCTTAGCAGTTACATTTACAGAGCCAAATAATCCTGGAACATTAAAAAAGAAAAAGTACAATGCCTGCTTAAACCCAGGGTCTTTTTTCTGGGAGATGCCACATTAGATCTTTCAATACTACATAGGAAAAGTAGGTTTAACAGAAAGTGGGGTATATTACTATATATATTTTTGAAAGGAACTTAGGGCATTTGCTAAAACAAAACAAAACTGTTGCCAGTCTATTGGTCTTAACCAAAAGTGAAGTAAAAAATTCTAAGCCCTTATTTTCCAAGTAGAAAATTAATAAAATGACTATTTAAATGTTAGATTTATACTATTATTTTTAAAAATGGACATCTGTTAAGCTTAAAAGAGAAACATGAAGCCAGGCGTGGTGGCTCATGCCTTTAATCCCAGCAGAGGCCAGCCTGGTCTACAGAGCAAGTTCCAAGCTGGCTGGGGCTACTGGGAGACCCTGTTTCAAAAAGACCAAAGGGGAAAAAAAAAAGAGAGAGAGAAACATGAATTTTGTAAATGAGAAAAATGGGCTATAGAAAAGGCTCAGTGGTTAAGAGCATTGGCTGCTCTTGCTAAGGACCCAGGTTTGGTTCCCAGCACCTACATGGTAACTGATAACTGTCAGTAACTCCAGTTCCAGGGTATCTGACATTCTCTCTGACCTCCACAGATACTGTATGATATGGGTGCACTTACATACATGCACACAAAACCCTCATACACATGAAATTAAAAAAAAAATGTTCATTGCAAATAATAATCTGCTATGAAATTTATCAGTCAACACTGGCAAATTTATTCTAATATAATAAATATAATATTTATTATATTATTTCCATGTGTAAGCTTAGGTAATAGAACATACTGTCCTCTAGAACCCAACTTCCGAAAGAAAAATCAATAAAAGAACCACAGAGAAAATGTATCCACAAAGCACTGGCATCATGAGAAGCCACATCAAGATGACAGCTTTGGAATCTTGAGTAATGGCACCAATTAAAATAAAGACAGCTTACTTTCTGTAAACACGTTAGGTCAGAATCCCGGCGAAAGATTTTATCCATGGGGATGCTACTGTAGGAGGAGATATGAAAACAAACTGATGAGACAAATACAGTTAGCTGTGTATTGATAAACTGTCACTGATGCCATATAGACATCATGACTTTATATTTAACTTGGGATTTTTTCTGAAATAATTTAACAAAAAAGACAGGAGCTGTGCAGCCACACAGAACACAGCACATACCTGTGAGAAAGCTTGTATTTTTTGATTATCCATTTTGTCTTTTCATAGACTAATCCCCACTGAGGTTCTTCTAATGTCTGTTGTACCTCAAATTTGTAAGGTAAACCTAGAAAAGTATAAAGAAGCTCATTTTCATCAATTATTTCTTAAATCTCCAATCTCTTTTTAATTAAAATTCTCTCTATAACTTGGCAGAAAGTTGAACAGCACTTTAAACACACTAGTATTCATTAACTATCTACTGCCTATTTGTTCTACTAAGCCTATTAATGCCAAGCTATTAATAATAATGAAGAAATGTAGAAGTACCCTTCTCCTGACAATTCTGTGAAAAGCAGAATATTATGTTATCCAAAGAGGGCACTGTTAACAAATATACCAGAACCATGGGCTTAAATTGGAACTGCCCATGGCAAAGCAAGGCACAATCCCATGTGAGTGAGAAACACAGTCATCAAGCTTATGACAAGGCTACATCTGGCAGGCAGCATTCCTATTTTACAGAGAAGAAAACTATCTCGTGTTGGGGCTGGGAAAGTGGCACAGCTTGGATTCATACCCTTGCAAGGTATGCCTGACTTCTGAGCCCACGTGCGTTACACCTTTCTACAGGTCCTAATCAAGACCATACAGGGAACAGGACCAACCCTTGGGAGGTAGTCAAAGCTGTTACACTTCACTCTGAGGAAAAGAACCCAAGAAAAAAAGAAAAGTAGCACACAATGAGCCACCAGCAATTCTGCATCCATCCCTCAGAGTATTAGAAGAAAAGCTCAACAGATTACCAAAGTGGATATAACACAATAGCACTTACACACTGACACCTATGCTTTACGTATGTGAAGTCATTTAAATGAAGTAACCACTATTACTTTTTTATATTAAAAATATATTATTGTCACTATTCCTTTGAGGAGGACACTGAGCCATGATGTAGACATCTGTATAAAGCAGCATCTGAAACCCCAGCATGTACATTATGGGTTGGCATGATGGCTCGGCAGGTGAAAGGGCTTGCTGTGCAGACTTATTCAGGTTTTTGGGAGGAGGGACCGGGACAGCAAGCCTGACGACTAGTGTTTCATTTCATTTCTATTCTCCCCTTCCTTTCATTTCTCTCCTCTAGCAACTTAAGAACATCAGCACCTAAGAGCACAAGGACCACTAAGCAAACTTCTTCTGGTGATGACAGTAGTTTTCCTAATATACTTTGATTACCTACGCAACACAGCCACTAGCTGTAGTCGTACTGAAACTGTTGTTTGTTAAACTCACCACATACAATACCATTAATCCTTACAACTACTTACCCTGTAAACAAGGCAATCATTTTTTTTTTTTCTCATTTTACAGGAGTAGCAAAGGAGAATGTGAATCTAAATGACTTGCCCAAAGTAAAATAACCAGTACATGCCAGAGCTGGGATCTGAATATAGTTAAGTAACTTCTATTCTTAATGAAAGTTGAAAATGAGAATACATACCAGTTTTAAGTAGGGCTAATAGAAAATATAAACATACATGCATAAACTACATGTAGCTCTATCTGGTATTATTAAGAAAATTTCTAAGTTAAAAAAAGTTATCTATCTTCCCTTGAGTTATTGTCCAGGGTGGCCCAAGAGACTCCCAGACAGTAACCCAGCATAGACATGGGAAAATGAACAGCAGACCCCAATCTTATCTAAAGGAATGATGACAACTGATTGCTGCTAGATGAGGAAGAGCTGGTCTTCCTAAAACAAGGAACTCTAGATAGGCTGACTAGATTCAGCAGATGGACAAGCACTGGAGAATGGCTGGGGGCACTGATAACCTAGTGGACAGTAACAGGGATGACAGAGTATATGGGGGCGGTTATGGGAGGGTGCCATTTGGGATGCGAGTATAAAGATGAATAAGATTGTTTGGATATTCTGTATGAAATACACACACACACACACACAAATCAATAAATTAAAAAAAAAAAAGAGGTATTTAATGAGCCAGATGTGGTGGCACATGCCTTTACTCCCAGCAACCTGGGAGGCAGAGGCAGTGAATCTCTGTGAGTTCAAGGCCAGCCTACCCTACATAGTGAGTTCCAAGACAGCTGGGGCTACAGGAGACCCTGTCTCAAAAAGACCAAAAAAAAGGGGGGTGGTATCTAAATAAAAATTTCCTTTTATTTAATAGAATATTAGAAGAAAGCCAATCACTAAATATACTAAATATATTTCCTGACTGATCAAAGCACAGAAACTGTTTAACAATTACAGATGTTTAGAAAATAGAACCCCAGCAGTTAAAAGTAGGACCAATATCTTGTAGTTTCTAGAAAGTCTCAATTCTTGTGCCAGAGGGCTTCCAAAAAGACATGAAACAAAGGCCCCAAAGGATCTAAAGATACAATATGCACAGTTAACAATAGGCAAGCCATTTATAAGGTAGCTCTGTTCAACAGATCTCGGCAAGGACGGTGAACCCCACCCTCTGCATGCTGTCCAATGGACGCTTCTCCTTTCCAGTGGTTCTGGCCCCTACCTGGGCTAGTTTCTCCATAGCATGGCTATCTGTATTTTGCTAACTACCTGAGGGGGTATCTTTCACAAATCTCTGGAGGTCACTTTGAAATTATTTAGTTGTTTTCTTCTGGGAACTTGGCTGTCTTGCCTCTATCACCTTTATTCAAATCCATCAGAATCTGGGTTGGGTTTCTCCTTGTGTCACACCTGGAAACTACTTTAGGTCAGAAAGGAGGGTAATTTGGGCTCAACTGATTTGTTTCCCATCTTTTAAATGACCCTCCTTTGCCGCCTGAAGTCATATGCTAGCTAAGGCACTACTGCCAGGCATTTTACCCACTGTTCTGGCTGCTTTGGAAAAGTCTTTGCTACTTTGTTTTGGTCAGAAGTCGAACTACATAAATTTTAAATTACATTTAATTCTAACAAATCAAAATTTGAATAGTCACATGAGATGAGTGATTCAATAAAAGCCCATGCTGTTGATTACTTGCTACTGGGGATATAAAGACAAATCAATTGTATTAAGAGACAGTGGCCATAAAAGCATAAAAGTATTGGAGACACACAAAGAGAGTAATTAATAGTCAACAGCGTGGGGAAGACTACCAAGTAGAGCATCAAAAAAAGACAAGAGGGAAGAGAAATTAATTATTAAACAAACATTCATGTATTATCCATTTGTACCAGACCTCGTGCGGGAAACCAGGTAGAAAATGAGTACAATACAGAACGGAGAGGCAAAGATCTCAATTAGGTGGGGAAGAGAACACTGCAGCTGCAAATCCCACAGAACTACGCCTAGAAGAAACCTCAACTTGAGCAGTGGTAGAACAGAGAAAAGAAAAAACAACCTGGAGGCACCAATTTTTTGTCCCACCACTCCCTTTCCATCTTTGCTCCCTGCCTTTCTTAGGCTGCTAAACGAATTCCCTACATAGACAGAGCTGGCTGTATTAGAAGCAGACATATACCCCATGGGAACCAAGTCGAATAACTGGCTCTGCCAACCCAATTTTTTCTTGAGACATGAAATGGATTTGAAACCAGCCTGTCAGTGGGAAGCCTAATACCCAAGAGGTGACAGAAAGTCGGGGCTACACTTTTTCTTCATTTGCATGTCATGGCAGAGAAGGCCAGTATGCATTTAGGAAAATAGTTTCATGAGAACAGAGACTCTGTTTTGTGTACTGCAATATCGCCAGTGTCCAGCACACACACTTCCTGCCCTGACTTTTCTTTACATTTCATCCTTTTCCCCTGGGGCCAGGGTAACATTGGAGACTGGAATGAAAGAGGCAGGCTCACTAGGTGGCATGCAATGATTCCTTAGATGGCAAACGTTTTTATCAAACAATTTTGCACAGTTGCAAATTCTTTGATTTGAGGATAGGAATAGTAAGCTGTTGCTGATAACTTACGATAGGAGCCACCAGGGCTAATTTCTTCACTGATAACCAAGCAGGTAATCTGGGAATATGGTAAAGGATTATTTCGATTATATGGACTAATGATCATTCCAATGAACTTTGCTCCTCCTCTGGAGAAGTAACTCTACAATGAAAAGAAAGGTATAATTAATTTCAACATTATAAATTTGAGTGTTTATGAATGCTCTGCACAGCTAAGGGGGGGTGGGGGTAGGAGGGAGGAGGAAACCAGAAGGTCCACACCCAATAGCAGCAACTGAATGAAATGTCCCAGGTATTCACTTCACAATGTAAAATGTTCAGGCCACAACTGCTCAACTCCATTGGAATCAATCCTTAAAAATACATTCAGCAGGGCAAGGGAGATGGTTCAGTGGGTAAGAGTGCTTGCTGCAGAAGCATGAGGACCTGAGTTCAAATCCCCAGAGTCCACATTAACAAGCCAGGTATAACCAGGTTCAGCAGGGAATAAGGTAGAGAATGATAGGACACTAAATATCCTCCTCCGGCTTCTGTACATGCATACAGGAGTATGCACCCTACCACACAAACCTACATCACATATACACATTCACATACAAACACACACACATACATTAGTCAGGTGTGGTGGTGCACACCTATAATCTCGGCACTCAAGAGGCTGAGATAGGAGGTTCCAGGTCAGCCTGGGCTACAAAGTAAGACCCTGTCTGAAACAAAACAAAACACATATTATGAATGTGTTTACTAACTATACTGACAAACCATCTTGCAATCCTTATTAACAGGGCAATAATTTTCAAATAGCTATCTATATAAAAAGCACATTAAACATGAAATTTCAGAATAAACAAAACTTCTTTTTCTTTTTCGGAGATATATAAATGTTTCCAATTATTTCACTTATACCAAGTCCCTGTTTTACTTTCTCCTGTCAGTTTTCTAAAGGCCCTGGAAGCATTTACCAGGGTCACTATGATGGCTTGTTTATACTAAGCAAGCTGCTGACTTTCCAATTGCTTTACTCTTGTAATCTGAAAAAAAAAAATCCAAATTATTTCAAAACTCCAGATGTAAAGAATGTTAGAAATGTAAAGCTAAAATTAACAGAAGTGTTTTTGTTTAGTAGGAAGCAAAAGAAGGGAGAATGTATCATCAATTACACAGTATATGTGCGTAATACTATAAACACACCTGGTATTTGGCCTGCGTGTCAATATCTCGTAAGGAAGGATTAGGATCAAATGCAGGATGGGAATGGTACCACCCAATAACACTGTAGCCTCGAACAGCCAAGGTTTCTGAAGCCTGTGTCTGTGATACAGGATCCATCTCACACTGTAGTCCTGTACTCAGACTGTTACATGGTTCTGCTGCACAGACCTGTAAAAGATTATTCTCACATGATTACAATGAAATTCTATCAATTCTAGTACTTGCCAATGAATTAAACTCCAAGAGTATGACTGTTCACTAGGATCTTAACATGCTTTTCTCTACTCAAAAAGGTATAATGGTTAGCTTTCCAGGTCACACCATGTCTATCTAAAAGTGTTTTCAACAATTCCTATTATATATAAAAATAATTCCAACAGACTGATGTAAGCCAACTTCCAGCTTCAAGTGTTAGTGTTTATGACTGGCCTTTTAGCTATAGCTTTTTACTGGTGAAGGAAGTGGGCAGTGAAGATCTGGCAGAATTTTCTCTTTCTTGATAAGAAAAGGAAACAGGTGCTCAGTATATGGAATGTTAAGTCGCTTCTAGGAATATGTAACTTTCTATATTTGAATATTTTCAAACACATAGATAAAAAAAATCAGCATTTTTATTCTCAAAATTTAGTATACCAGTAAGACTTGATAATTAAAGTTTTTTTTTTAAAAAATAGAGAACTTGGGACTGGAGAGATGGCTCAGTCGTTAAAAGCACTGACTGTTCTTGCAGAGGACCTGGGTTTGGCTCCCAGCACCCACATGGTGGCTAACCACCATCTCTAACTCCAGTTCCAGGGGATCCAACCCTTTTTTGACCTCCTTGGGCACTGCATGACACAGGTGCACTTACATGCATGGAGGCAATATACTCACACACATAAAATACAATATTTTTAAATATAAAAATACAGGAGGACTTACTTCAACTGTCTTCTCAGCATCTGAGTATCTTCCCCCTAATAAACCAATTACCTCCGCCATAGACACATGAGCATGCTGGAAGAAACACAAGACAGACTTAGATGAAACCCACAAAGCTAGCTAACAAAAAGTCACAGTACAACTCACTATTATAGCACAGTTACTGTAGGTGTGGCACCTATGCTGTTCTAAAAGTAGCACACCAGGGGAGCTAGCAGCCAGGGTCAGTGCAGAGGGACTTAGACTATAGGCCCACATTTTCTGCTGCCTGAGAAGTTCTGAACCAAACACTAGAAGATGGCACTTTTTTCACTTATAAAATGAAGGTGCAATTTTTTTTTTGGAGGGCGGGCAGTCTCTTTGAGACAGGATCTCCCTGTAGCCCCAGCTGTCCTGGAATTCACTATGTAGACCAGGCTGGCCTTGAACTCCCTCTCAAGTGAGGGGATTAAAGGCGTGCACCACCATGCCCAGCTGAAGATGCAATTTGTACAAGGACCAAGTAAAAATCACACTGGGCCCTTCTATGGTAAAACCACCATAAGCACACACAACTGCTAGGGGTATCATAGGCAGTGAAGTGCAAACAAGAAACCTCCAAGTTTTGGGAACAGTGCTATTTCATTCATTTTAAAGGCAGCAGATACAAGATATTAGGAATGAAAAAAGGGTTAATGATGCCATTCTGCAAAACACATCAATTTATTGTCTAAAATATGGAAACATGCAATTGTCTGCCTTTTCTTCAAAAGAAAAGACTTATTTTGAGATTCACTGTAAAAGAGGATCATTAAGATCCAAAGTACAAGTCTTCTACACTCTTAGGCCGGCAATAAAAATACACAAGAACAGAAATCAGAATAAGTAAACACAATCGTCATCCTTACCAAATCCATGATTAAAAGTGCTTCTGAAGCCACTCTGACCTGAAATGGCTCCTGAAATACAAAAGAGAAGAGAAGGAAGGGGCATAAGTATTTTTGTTCTCCCAAACTGGAGCCCATCCATTTCTCCTTTACCATCCCACCAAGTTCTCACCATCAATCAAGGCTCACTATAAGCTACACTTTAAACAATTACCCTTTGCACATCCCAACAGGAAATTGCTCTTTCCTCTCATTTTTCTATGAGTCAGTTACTCACTCCTTAGTATACCTTGCCATGTCCTATCCTTTTATTTACATATGCCTCAAATATAGAGATAATAAATATATCCTGTCTGAGGGGGGAGGTATTATTTATAATCATTCATTGATATATAACAAGTACCTGATTTTCTTCACTGAAAGAATTACAAGGTATCAGTTGGAAGGGATCAAATGAGCTGAAAAAGAAAAAAAAAAGAAAAAAAAACAATATAGTCTCAAGATTTACCAATAACATAAACCACAACTTTTGCCTGAATGAAAAAAAATATTAAACTAGGAGAAACCCTTCAGAAGGAGTTAATATGTCCTTTTAGATTTGACAAAATGCAGGAATGTGACCCGATACGAAGTTCAAGAAAGAAGTTTCGCAAAACCACTTGTCAGTATCATAATGGTCTGCTCCAGAAGAGATTCAATAAACATTTTTTAAATAAATAAGTAACTAACAATATTACTAAAGAAATTAATGTAAATAGAAAGTCCTATGATAAATTATAGCTGCATGACCCGTCTTGACTCCCCCAGCCTCATTCGCCCTCCCACCTCCCCTACCCGTCTCTCCTCCTAGCCTGGGTACTGGCCCATTTCTTGTCTTGGCACCCCAGACACCGGGGCTGACCTCTCTGCTTGGGACCACCACTGCTTCCTGGTCCTTTGCATCTAGACTAACCCAGTTCCTTCTCGGTCCAGGAGCCCTCTGGGCCTGGTCCCGCTGTCACCTCCCTCTGTTTCCCTGGGTGGCACAGCCACCAGCTACCTGAGACCAGCATTTTCCTGAGCCCTGTTCCCAGGTCAGTCCAGCCCCCAAATACCTGAGGACATCTTTCCTGGTGGGATCCAGACCTGAGGAGAAAGCCCGAGAGCACCTGATCCTCATCTGACTTGGGCCTCTTTGGGAACTCCTGAAAGCAATTTGGCCACTCCAGTATAAAATCGAAAGAGAAAACTAGAAGCCTAGACCAACCAGCTTTTCATGCCCAACAAGTAAACTACAAAGACACATAAAGTTTACAAAAAGAAGCAGACCTAAACTTGAAGTCTTGAGTCTCACTAAACTTGAAGGCTTGAGTCTCACACAAGAATCAAAAACTACAAAATAAATTCACATGTCAAAGTCAAAGAGAAAAAATAACATGCTTGAGTCTCACACAAGAATCAAAAACTACAAAATAAATTCACATGTCAAAGTCAAAGAGAAAAAATAACATGCTACAAAAGAAATTCACATGTCAAAATCACAGAGAAAAAATAATAACATGAAAAACCAAAATAACATATCCCCACCAAATACCAATAGTCCTCTAGAGGAGCACAATGAGAACTCGCTAAAGATAATGCAGGACATGAAACTCAAAAGAACAATTATAAACATGATAAAAGAATTCAGTGAATTTAAAGAATGCACAAAGAAATCAAAGAACTGAAGGAAGATAGGGATAAACTACGGAATGAATTCAGCAAAGAGCTAGAAATATTGAAGAATACTCAGGTTGAAATGAAGAAGGACAAATAAACGACAGGAGAAAGCCTCACCAATAGGATGAATGAAATGGAAAACAGAGTATCAAGACTGGAAGATAAAGTGGATGAACTAGACCACTCAAGTAAAGATTATGAAGAATTTAAGAAAAACACAAGAATGGAATATGCAGGAATTGTATGACACCATAAAAAGACCAAACTTACAAATGATAGGCATACAAGAAGGAGAAGAATCCCAAGATAATGGCATGGACCAGATCTTCAACAGAATCATAGAAGAAAATTTCCCAAAATTAAAGAAAGACATGCCCATACAAATACAAGAAGCATAGAGAACACCAAATAGACAGGACCAGAAAAGAAACTCTCCATGGCACATCGTAGTAAAAACACTAAATGTACAGAACAAAGAGACAATGCTGAAAGCTGCAAAAGAGAAACAACGAGTCACATATAAAGGAAAACCCACGAGGATTACAGTGGACATTTCAGTGCAAACTATGAAAGTCAGAAGAGCCTGGACCAAAGTATTCCCAGTTTTAAATGACCACAGATGCCAACCCAGATTACCAGCCAAAATGTCTATTACAGTCAAAGGGGAAAGAAAAATCTTCCATGACATAAATAGGCTGAAGGAATTCATGTCCACAAAACCAGCCCTT